TTAAAAAATCTGTTCTTTTTGAACAAGGTAATGGCAAAATAAGCTTGTAACAAAGTTATTCAGATTTCAAGACTAAAACCTAAAAACCTCCCATCCTTTAAAGATAAAAGGAGAGGGAAGTGTTAAATACATTGAAAAATAACAATAAAAATTACCTAAAAAGTAAAATCTGGTTTCAAAATAAAAATGTCTTTCTTACATCTGGCGACTGCTATGTAATCGATGTTTAATCAAAGCGCCTGCCTCTTACATGGAAATCACTTGGACGTGAATCGCCTAAACTAACCTGAATATTACTGATGACAAAATGGGTCCAGACCCTTTTCTGCAGGATGAAGTGAGGTGCTGCAAAAATGGTACAGGAGTGATTGAAGGGGCACAGAAATGGGTTTCAGTCATTGAATTTTCAAGATCCTGCTCCAGTGGAGCAACAGTTTGATGCAGTAGACATCAAGTTTGATCAATGGAGGCTCCAAGTCGCAGCGCAAGTCTGACATGAGTTGAAAGATTTCAAAAATCGTGCAGAGAAACAAGTTGTGATGTGAAGGGCCAATATAAAGCTGGAAGAAAAAAGGAGACAAGAATGGATGCACTAATAACAAGGGGAAAAAAACAAAAAGATAACCAGTCTGTTCTTCAGCAGTCACACTACATGACTTCTCCAGAAAACATCTGACCCTATTTGATATTGGTTGTAGTTAATCTTTAGTTTGAAGAGCGTTAAATGGAAGGTTTCAGCTCATCTGTCACAACGAAAAACCAGAGCAGCGATGAGTTCACGTCGTCTAATACCTGTCCTCAGCACTGAACCTGGCTTTAAAGAATCTGTAACCAGATCACACTGCAGACTTTATGAAGTCTGATCAACTTCATGCCTGATCACAGCAGCTGATCTGATGACAAAAAGACAAACAATTTTAGACAAGTTATTCTGCTATGGCTCACCAATGTTCTGCTTGCAATGACTACTAAAAAAATGTCAATCATGTAGCTACGTGATAAATAAGGTACTATGATTTAGTAGCCATATTGAGGACTTCTACATTTTAATTGATTTTTAAAAGCTATGGTAACGATAGGCAACTGAACAAAAAAGTATGTTTGTACAACCTACCAAAAAAGATAAAGACATGGAAAACTGATTAATGAAATGCTGACTGATAAAAATATGAAAAACTCAGCATTTAATAATTAATAGGGTCATGTAAAATGAGTGCATGCTTCAGAGTATTACAATTATTAAAAACTTGGACATCTAAAAGCCAAAATATTTCACTTTAGTCATCCTGATAATATGATTCAATATGTTTTTTGAACAAATACTAAAAATACCTAAATCATGGTCAGTTAATTCTACAAAGTGTATAAGATGCTTTTTACAAACGGATTAGTTTACACCTTTTTGGTCTGTACAGGCTTCCATCAGATGATAATGAAATTAAACAGAGAGCTCATGTAATTTGCTTACATAACTATCGTCATCATTGACTATCTGAATGAAGGCAGCACAATATTATAAAATCTCATCTTTCTCTTTCAGGGTTTTAGTGAACATATTGTTCACCTTTGACTACTGTATTTTATTTGTTTTGAAAGCTCTGAATAATAATTTGTTTTCATGTGAATTTATGTTCATCTTTTGGACAGTCTTATTTATTTTACCTTTGTGTGGAAACTGCATGATTTTATTCATGCAGGTATATTTGTTGGCGATGTACCTGAATTTCTCCCAAGGGAAAATAAAAGGTCACTTTTATTCTATTAAAAACAGAGGAAATCAATAAACTACTAGTAGCAGTACTACCAATGCTGAGAGTTAAGTGATAGTTCTGCTTTACAACAAATTCACAGAAAAAAAAAAAAAAAACATTCCACTGATACAGCAGTGCATCTCACCCTTTTGAATAATATTTTCACATCATGTCTAACTATATTTACTCTGCAATACATTTTTTTTTTTTTTGCTGTTGCTCGAACTAAAATTGTTGGGCTTAAACAATACTATATGAACAGAGCTACAAACCTAGGGATTATTTTAGACATTTTCAAAGAAGATAATCAGAACTGTGTTATATTCATATTAAATATGTTTCAATCAGCAAGTCTGCTGTTGCTTTTAGTTCTCCACTAGCTTGACACGTGATTACACTACTCGCTGCACCATCCACCTAGAAATCACCTTTTCATTTGCTATTGCTGGTTGCACTTTCAGTAATTCATGTTGATAACAAACACGCCCACAATATAATTTTACCTCAGAAGGAGTAGATCATCAACAATAGTCTGTTAATGTTTTCAAGTACATATAAAATTAACTTCATTAGCCAGTAAATGGTTTAAGGTGTAAAAACTTTGTAAACCGTAATTAACTGAGATTTAATCTAAGTACTGAAAAGAAAAAAACAAAACATTTGCAGGTTAATTTTTTTTATAACATTTAACTTTATTAGATAATACATTTTTTTGCCATTTTGTCACCTCGAACCAACAATGATATCACTTAAGTTATTTTATTGCTCTTTCAGATTAAATTAGTTTTTTCTTCAACATACAGTTCTTTGTGGCTGCCGTTTGTGCTCTAATTGTTCAAGTTATGATCACATCACTGTTTTCTCCTGTAAGATAGCTTGTATTTGCAATTATGAGATGCAATTTTGACAATTCCTGTCAAAAACATAAAGTGAATACATATAGAATATTATCCGTAGTACTTTTTGTTTTTTTCCCCCATTCGTGTAGGTAAATTACCAAAGGTCTGTGATAAAATTCAGATGCAGTAAATGAGATTCCCTCTCAAATAAAAAATTAGTTTAATAATGTAAAGTAACTGTCAGATGATCTGACACAGCATGTCTAATTAGCCTGCATTTGGTAAAGTTTCCATCTGAAATTGGAAACAAATTTAATCTCAATTACAGATTCAATTACTATATTGAATATGAATGTTAAAAATTCAGTATTTGTTTCAAGTGAACAAACTGACCGAGCAATAAAAGACTGATTGCAATATGTACATATATATATTAGAAGACCAACATTTAATCTATGATTTTAATAGAAGAAATGCATCCATCAGCTTTTAAAATGCTGTCACGGTCTTAATTTTTCGAAAACATAAATGATCTTCGGATCATCTGAACAGCATTTAATCCTCCTTGGGAACATTCCGCCAACATGCAACCATATTTTCTGTTAAGACGTGTGAACCATCTAGTACTGATAAAATATCGGTGTGAGAAAACGCATCCATTAGATTAGCCAGATTTCAAGACGACGAAAAACTTAAGTCTAGATTAATTTTCCCAACACTTTTTCCAAACGTTAGCAAGTTAGCTAGCACCCACCTCTGATATAAATAGCAGAAAATATGGTGTTCTCAGCTTGGGCTTCTTCCATCCCTCACATACAAATGGCCAAGAACTGTTGGGCAGTTTAAAAATATTTATTTTTTTGTTAACGTTGAGCTGTGACTAGTTTAAGCTTTTCGCCAGCAAAAGCTAACGACATTGCTAGCAGATGAAAGCCGTTGATCGCTGCGCTACCTCTGTGAAAAACAAGGCTATCCGGCTAACTGCTATGTTTAGCTCTCCAGCAACAGTCGACATCAAATTTACTTTGCGCCTTTCTTTTCATAGAATACATTCCTCCGATGCCCATAATATCACGTATGACGCACTGGTCATATAAATGTGAGTACAAAACTTACTGGGCAGTTTCAAATTTCCAAAGCTCGTCGAGCCGCTTCCACTGGCTTGTGAAGCCCCAGTTTTTCCTGTCGAGCTTCCGCCGGCCACCGCCGATACGGCACCGGCTGCAGCAGATCCGGGAGCTCCGGGAGGCTCAGCGAATGAGCTGGTCCTGGCCCGCCCGCTGCCGCTCATATTTGTGTGAACTAGAGCCGAGGGCACAGTTGAATGTTTAGAGCAGCAACACGGGCGGACACACTGCCATATGTGTGCGTGTTGTAATATTTGATATAATTTTTTAAAAATTACACTTACAGCGTTCAGTATAGGTTTCCCGTCTCCCCCTTTCTTCCTCTGTAGAACAGTGATGGTGGGGGGACTGGGGAGTTGACGCTCAACGACGTAAGGACTGTAATGGTTCATGGGAAATTGAGTTTTTAGAACGGAATGGAAGATTATTATCTACGGAAAAGGATTAGGGCCATAACAAAAAGAAAAAAAAAAAAAATATATATATATATATATATATATATATATATATATATATATATATATATATATATATATATATATATATATATATATATATATATATATCTGTCTGTGTGTGTGTGTGTGTGTGTGTGTGTGTGTGTGTGTGTGTGTGTGTGTGTATCCATCACAAGGCAACATAGAGACACAATAAGAAAACACCAGAGATAAATGTAAACAAAATAGGCTGGAGGAATTAAAACAAACACATTGACAAGACTAAAAAGATGTAACCATAAGACAAATAAATGCAACGTATACAGTATTTATTTAATGTATTAATGAGAAAAGATAAGACAGACTTTATCTCCAGCTAATGTTCAGGGCGAGAGGCGGGGTACAACCTAGACAGGTCGTGTTTATGTATAGCTACAAATGTTCTAACATAATTCTAATAAAATAGATGTATAGTATTGTTTATGCACAAACAAGCAAACAATAAAGTAAAATAAAGATGCATTAAAAACCAATCTGGATAGTTTCAAAAAAATTGTATGCAAATAAGAAATTTTTCAAAATTATTTACGTAAAAGCAGAACTACTGAAGTTCATGTGAAAGCTAGACTAAAAATTTAATATTTCAACTTTGAATACATCAGTGTATTAATTTAGCACTACCTTATATTTGGAGAAATTTCTCCTCGCTTTAAAATTTTATGGAGGCTAACGCTCGGTTGTAAAAACTACAATTCCCAGCATTAAAGTGGCAATTGTGATTGACAGTCGTTCTGTCCAATCACAGGAGCTAAAACGCACACGCTATCACAGTAGGCGGGGCTTTACAGCACAGGAACATTTGCGAACGGCGGGTAAACGTCGCTTTACACGCTTTATATACCATATTTATATGGCGATTTATCTGTTTTAGAATTTTTAAAGTTACGACTGCTGGCAAAGACTGCCATTAAAGACAAACGGGTGCGTTAACTCCGAGGGAAGAGCACACAACGGTCTGATCAGCGAGAGTAAATGAGAGGTAAGGTTAAAGAAGGGCCCGCCGTAGAGCTGCGGAGAAAAGTGGCTAGCGCCGCCTGACGGACCGCCCGACGAACCGGGCCTCCGCTTTCAGGAAACCGCGGTGCCGAGAAACAGGTCTGCAGCCTCCAAAGGAGCGCCGCCAACAGCTCTCCCTACGCTATCACACATTGTAAACAAAGATAGTTTATTTTTGGAAGCAGGTGAAGAATTTGGGAGCGGGTTTAGTTTATCGAGGTGGTAATGTTAGCATCAGAGGCCCTTCATTCAGCTAACGGTCGTGTGTTTGTTCCCGCACTTCTTTCACCATGCCTCCATCAACACTACAGGGATCGTTGTTTATTCATAGAGTATTTCACTTTATAAATCAACTACAAACACAAAGGCACAGCGTAGAAGGTAAATCGTACTTTTTTAAAAAAGGGATTTAATTTGTTTTTGTTGTCGTTTCTCTAGATGCCAAGAAGTTGCCTTCATTAACAAGTCCGGGCTGTGACGTTTCCCCATCAATCAGTCCTTCATGCAACTTCCCATGATCAACTCCCAGGCATAACAAGTCACTGCCCACGCCGACACCCTGCCATGATGGAGGAAGGGGGCCAGGAGGAGGCAGAGGACATGTATGTGGAGCACCAGTACATGTGCAGCGAGTGCCAGCAGCTCTTCGGCACCCTGGAGGAGGTTCTGATCCACCAGCAGATCCACACGGCCCAGGAAAACGATGCTGAGGCCTCAGGCATCAGCGAGAGTCAGCACTACCAGTGTCTGGAGTGTGGGAGCCTCCTGGTGAATGCAGAGGAGCTGCTGCAGCATCAGGAGATGCACATGAGAGAGGCTGGGATGGAGGTCGGGCAGCAAGGTGATTTAACAGCAAAAGTTACAGGAAATGTAGAACCTTGATAAATTAATAAAAACCCGGAAGTATTTTCTATTTTATTGCTTTTCTATAACTGTATTTTATCTAGGCTTGTCACAACAAATTTTACTGGATGATCATTTTACCACTAATTGTTGTGATAAACAATAATATTATTGTTTTAAAACCTTTTTCAAATAATTTAATGACAATGACATAATAGTGCAAGTTCACCCTCTCGAACACTTAATACTGGAACTGATATGTTGTCATTTTAGCTGCTCTCTGTCATTGTCTGCTCCATTTCCTCTTCTTCTCTCCCACTTCATAACACAGGGGTTAAACGGTAAAAAATATTTGCAAAGACAGAAAACTTCAGGAAGAAATGATACTAACAGTGACATTAACTATAGACATGAATAACCGTTCCTTTTATATCTTCTCTGTTGGTGCCTACTTCTTTCCCTGCTCTAATCCTTCTCAGTTGTTTCTTTCTCATTAGTAGCAGCTTTGTTATAATCATAAAATTCCTAAATAGTTAAATTGCTCACGTGACTTCTGTCTTTGCTGAGTTGACACCAGAGATAATCTAAACTATTTACATTGCCTCTTTCCCAAACTCTCTGGGTTGCATCTCTTTTCTCCGCCTCTGTTTGATAAATTATCCTGTTTATCAGAAGCTCTGTTGTTTCCTCTTTTCCCTGAATCTGCGTGTTTTCAGTAGCTCTAAATATTATATTTCTAGCTGAATCTGCCTCACATTTTCACTAAACGGAAAACACCTCCTGAGCTGCAAACCAACTCAAACTTCTTCTCCTGTTGTGTCCAGAGGTGTGCGAGGTCCAGGAGTTGGAGCAGGCCAGCGCAGAGGCGCAGGGACCCGTTCAGTACCAGTGCCTCGACTGCCTGGCTCTGTTCGACTCCCCTGATACCTGGCTGGAGCACCGGCGAACACACAGCAGGAGCAGCACACACAGCAATGCACAGGCTTCCAACGTAAGCAATCCAAACACTCATCCATTCCTGGGAAACAAACCAGTGTCCAACTGATGACTTATTCTGTTTGTGCTGTAAATACAACCTTTGATCAGCAGCAGCTTGGTAATGTAGTTTGGCAGAGACATTTCTGCTTAGTCAGCTTCTGAGTTAATGTTCTACTGACTTCAGTTAGCAAATAACATCCAGGCGCTTTTAATTGTCAATAAACATTTCATTTAAAGGGAAGATAAATTCAAATGTACGTCAAAAACACATGAAAAAGTAATTTTTTTTTATTGCAAGATGTCTTCTTGTTCGCCTCTTTTTCAGGTCATTGTTTTTAATTTTTTTCCCCCCAGACTTTAAAATGTTATATTATCTGAGTAAATGGACATTTAACAGTATATTTCAATCAAACATAAAAAGACTGATTTTGTGTTTCTGTTCATGTTGGCAGGAGTATGTGCTGCAGGCGGACGGCTCCATCACTCCTCTCAACAACATGCAGAACTTTGTGCTGAGTGAGCAGCAGGCTGGAGAGATCCTGGCACAGGTGTTTTTATCTAGACCTCATATAAACCCCTGACTGTTTGGTTTGTCTGCCTCTTGTTTTGGGGAAAAATGCCATGCTTCAACGAAAGGTTTCATTTTGGCCCCATGAGTCAAACTCGGCCCACCATAGAGTTTTATGTGGCCTTCTAAACTCCAGATTGACACTTTGAGGCTTCAAGATAACAGTTGTATGCATAAATATTATTTTGTCAGCCAAATCAGAACAGTTTTTATCTGTCTTCTGCCAAATTACATCAGTCAGTCCCTCCAGTTTTTTACGATGGAAATTCTTTTTCCCGCTAATGCAAAATTGTGAATTTTCTGCTAAAACGATCAAAAACATGGCGTTTAAATTTAATGAGTATTTCTTACTTCTACAACTGCTGCCTCATTCTTACGTGATGTCAAGTCTGTGATCAATATAGGAAGAACAAAAAGTCACATTGACAGTCTGTTTGAATATTGCAAAGATGTTTTTAAAGTAGCTCCACAAAATTGGTAAATTTGATTGCAAAAAAATCCATAATCACAACGGTCACAAATTCCTGTAGGGACTGATCAATGTGGAAAGATGCTCAATATAATTTTATTTATTCACTTATTGAATGTACGCACAACTATTTTGTAATAATTCAGCAATTTGTAAATGTTTATCAGTGCATACAACCAGAATGCATTGATGAAAGATTTTCTGAAAAGTTCTATCTTTAGTGGACAGGATTTGATATCATAAAAGTTGAAACACCAAACTTCTGAACTGTGTGTGTTTCTATCCTCTTTATGTTTTCATTTGACCTTGTTTCAGGTACTTTCCCACCAGCAGCAGCAGAAGAAGACTCGTAGATCTTCCTCCAAACCTGCTGGGTCCACCCGTTCCTACCTGCTGCCCCCTGTGACCCCGACTCCTGGCTCCGCCACCATGCACCTGCAGATCCTTACCGCTCAAGCTCTGGCGGACGGCTCCACCGTCCCAAGCCAACACCGCTCCAAGCAGCCGACGTTGCTGTCTGCTCTGGGTCAGAGTTCCTCGGCGAAACTGGAGGTCCTGGAGAACGGCGTCCAGAGACTGGAGTTCAGGCTGGCGCCTGGCGCCGGCAGGCAGCAGCAGCCATCAGCCGAGTTGGTGGTCATCCACCCTTACGAGTGCTCGGAGTGCGCCCTTCTCTTCAATACTCCAGAGGACTTCCTCCAGCACCAGGGGGAGCACTTCTTGGGCCAGGACAAGGAGAGCGGAGGGCCGGGTGTCATGAGCGGCCTCGATGAGATGCGAGGAAGCGAAGAGGCTCTGCTGAAGTCGCAGGATCTGAGGAGCAGAGCAGCAGAGATGAAGGCGTTGGGTTTGGCCAAACCTCTACGCTGTGAGCTCTGCGACCGCGCCTTCACCTCCATCAACCGGCTCGCCGCTCACAGGCGTGTTCACGAGGAGGGAACGCACGAGTGTCCGGAGTGCGGGAAGGTCTTCAAGAAAGCGCTGTCGCTGCAGACGCACATAGGCACTCACTCAGGCGTTGCACGGTACCTGTGTGTGGACTGTGGGAATGGTTTTACTACTGAGATGACGCTCATCATGCACAGGTGAATATTTGATTACAGTAATTTAGGGTCCAAGTGTGTGGAGGGGGGAACGGTTCATGGGTCCAAATATTTTCCTTTTCTATAAATCTCATTCTGCTAAACTGGGAAAAACACAGGAAACTTCCTGGGGATTTAAATCCAGTACATGCATTGATTCCTCGGATATTAAAACTGCTTGGTGGCTCTCTGGGTAAGGCCAATGTGTTTATGTTATGTCTTGTAAACCTTTTTGGGGAGAATCCCTGCAGCAAATAAACAAGGTCCAACATGCAAACATATTTTCTGTTAAGACGTGTGAACCATCTAGTACTGATATAATATTGGTGTGAGAAAACACAACCGTTAGATTAGCCAGATTTCAAGACGGCAAAAAACTTAAGTCTAGATTAATTTTCCCAACACTTTTTCCAAACGTTAGCAAGTTAGCTAGCACCCACCTCTGATATAAATAGCAGAAAATATGGTGTTCTCAGCTTGGGCTTCTTCCATCCCTCACATACAAATGGCCAAGAACTGTTGGGCAGTTTAAAAACTAATCAACCAGCTCTCTGAGATTAATTATAGTAATTCAAAGAGCCCTGACACACAATACCACCTATAAATTTAATAGCACAACAAAAAAATGCAATCTCTATTTCACTTAAATCCAATTTGCATAATAATTTGAAACGGTTTATATAGTCCTCAATTTATCGGGCAATTGGAGCTGTAATAATTCGGACAGGTTTATTTAGCAGAAATGACTTTGACTGAATATACATTTTTCTTTTTGATTTTGATCTCTTGCAGAAAGGTACATGTTGCAGATCCATTTCACAGGTGTCAGATCTGCAACAAGACCTTTACCAACATGACTAAATACCTCTACCATCGTCGGACCCACCTCGACCCGGATTCATCAGGAGCAGCCACTCACATCTTTGTGGTAGGAACTGGCTTCGCCCTCTGCTTCTGCTTCTTCAGCACACTTAATGTAAAGTCACGTAATCTCTGTTCTTCTCTAGGCTTCTCCTCCACAAAGAGCATCTGCCTCCGCTCTTGCTATCCTCCAGAGAGCAAGAGAGAAGAAGAAACCTCAGATCGATGAAGCAGGAATCAATGAGCAGGCTCCACTCACAGAAGAAGAGATGGAGCAACAGTCTGAGTCTCCCAGGACTCTGGATGCTGAAGAAGAGATGAAGGAGAAGGACAATGTCACAATGGAAGCGGCTCATGAGCAGCAGCAGGTTATGACGAAAGACGTCGCAGTTTCTGGTTCTGTCGATGAAGCGGCGTCCAGAGACACCGCCTCGTCGTCAGACAACGGGCCGTTTAGTTGTCGTTCGTGTTCGAAGACGTTTCCCTCCCAGCTGCTGCTCGCTCACCACCGCAGCAAGTCCCACACTCCTCAGCGCAGGTTTGTGTGTGGCGTATGCGGGAAGTTGTTCAAGAAGCAGATCCACGCGCAGAACCACATGCGCATACACACGGGTGAGAAGCCCTTCCAGTGTTCAGACTGTGGGAAAACTTTCTCCCTGCTGGCCAATCTGATGCGCCACACACTCATCCATTCTGGAGTTCGCCCGTACCGCTGCGACGTGTGTTACCGCTCCTTCTCCCAGTCGTCCAACCTGCGTCAACACAGCCTGCTGCACTCCAGCGCGCCGAAGCTTGCCTGCCCCGAATGCCCCGCCACGTTTCGCTGGCCCAACAAGCTGGCGGCGCACCGCTTCACTCAACACCCCGGAGCTCCGGCTCCTTTTCCCTGTCCTCTTTGTGAAGCGGGCTTTCTGACCAAGAGTCAGCGGGAAAGTCACTGTGTGGAGCAGCACCCGACACCGGTCCAAAACCCGTCAGAACCATCCACGTCAACAACAGTGATCGAATCGTCAGGGGATTTAACCAGCTGGGGTAAAGGAGCCTTAGATTGTAATATTTGTGGGAGGAAGCTGAACTCTCCTTCCAACCTGCGGCTTCACAGACTGAGCCACTTCTCCCTGGGTCGAGGACGGCTGCAGCGCAACGCCGGAAAGCGGCCCAAAGCTCACCAATGTCCCATCTGCTGCAAACTGTTTGTGTCATCCTCTGCGGTTGCGCTCCACCAGCGCGTCCACACCGGCGAGCGGCCGTTCCCCTGCCAGGTGTGCGGGAAGCGCTTCCGTCAGAGCACGCACCTGCGGGAGCACATGCGTGTCCACACGGGCGAGCGGCCGTTTCGCTGCGAAACCTGCGGAAAGGGCTTCATCCAGAGCATGCACCTTACGGAGCACCGCAGGACGCACACGGGCGAGCGGCCGCACGTGTGCCCGCTGTGCAGCAAAGCCTTCAAGACCTTCTCCAACCTGAGGAACCACAAGAAGACCCACGCGAGGCAGCAGAGGCTGGACGAGGAGGCGGAGGCCGGCTCTGCAGTGGCGCTGGTGGACGCCTCTGTAGTGGACCTGGCCAACGGGCAAACCCAGCTCATCCAGATCCAGACCTCAGATCTACAGCAGGTACAGTGCCGCTTCAAGTATTCCTCACTGGATATTTAACTTTTTTTGTTTTATTGCTTTTATAAATCAGTCTTTATTCAATTTTTTTGTAAAAATGTTAAATTAACCTTAAAATTTGACTTTTTTTGGTGGTAAATTTAATCTACAATGCTACTAATGGCTCTGGGTTTATTTCACTCACATTCATGTTGCTTTAGAGGGTCATAATGAAACCATGTAACCTTACATAATCTACATTTTCTTACAATTAAATGATCATTAATCTTGTTGGATTGCACACAGGACTCATTTTGTCTTCCCTCACCAGGACCATCCATATTAACAGAATTAATTAAGAGTAGGAATCCCAGTACTTTTGTTACTAATTAATAATAATCCTCTTCACAGACACAAGGCACGCCCACCATCATGTGTAATGAGTTTGGAGAGACTATCGCCATCATCGAGACGAGCGAGGGAGGGGCTCTGCCTCTGGAGCAGGCGCTGGAGATCTATCAGAGAGCTTTGGAGAACGGCCTCGCTGCGGACCCAGCAGCAGACGGGCTGCAGCTGCTCTGAGTGAACCAAAACCGGATCCGATTCAACGTTAGTCCGAATACTGGCTGAAAACTAAGACTAATTCACTGCTGTGAAGGAAAATGTGATGATTTTACGCAACCGGATACTTCTGAACTCGACTATAAGACCAAAGTTTGTCAGGTTTCCTCCTCTTTTCTCATTTGAGGGATCACTGTTGATACACTTGGAAGTGATACCAATTAAATTAAAAATATGACTATAAATTTAAATAAGGACCATTGTTTGTGCCTCTGATTACATTTATATTATTTTTTATCACGGTTTCATTGTAAAATAAATGTTTTTTTTCTTAACGTTTCTCTGCATTTTTCAACCAGACAGCTGTGTTTTAAAGTATTTGGACATAACTGATTCTTAAATAACCCTGTTGTACAACCATATGTTTTAATCAATTAGAAGGATATTTACCTATTAAGGTAACATTTGCTGTTCTTCCTCCAGCTTGCCCTATATCCAGCTTCTACTCATTTTACCCTCAAACCTTTGATGAAAATCCTGCATAAAATAAAAAATATGCATAGTTAGAAGTGTAATAATCCTGGCACTGGATCAATAGCAAGATCAAATAGGTGTTGAAATTCCAGATTGATCATCGCGTTCGTTAGAAAATCCAGATAAATGGCTACCCTTCAACCAAAGACAGGACAGGGTAGCAGTTTGTCATTAGTATTATACATATTACATTATTTTGTACAGGTTTGGTTCAGTACTTGGCCAAAAATGGCATCAGTGGGACAATTTGGATAAAATGAGATAATTCAGTTAAACCTAGACGATAAAAATATTGTGGTTTACAAAGCAAGCATTGTTCAGTACAATGGCTTTACCATTTATTCAATATTATTCCTATAAAACAAAAAAATATATTCACATTAAACATGAAGGGAAGTGGTAAAGAATGAGTTCAGTGACGCACCAAACTAATTCCAGCACTGATGGTAGTTGAATAACGCACTGATTTTATGCAAAATTAGAAGACAATGACTGAAACAACCCGATTCTTTTTTATTTTTGAGCGGAGCAACTGTTGCAGGACACCAGGCGTGGAGTTTGACGCTGCTGCTCTTCAAAGACCAACAATGTGTTCACCAGGAATACACACTTGTTTTGTGAACTTTCACCAATTGGCCAGAAGGTGGCAGAGTGTGGAATAACACCAGAGCTCAAAGAAGACACTTCTGTTCAAACACCTTTAACACCCATCCAATTAGCCAATTAGATAGAAATTTAAATCTAATTTATACTTTCACAATTCTCTCATGGTAACAGAATCATAATCAAAACACAACATTTATAGTCATATTTATTGGGTGTTTTTTCCATTTATTGTTTTTTCTTCAGTAATGATAAAAGTCAACATATGCTCAATGACAGATTGTTTTTCCATATCAATAATGAGTCGACAGACTCTACAGTAATTATTTACAACACAACCAAGTCTTGCACAAAGACACAACCAGTATTATGTCCTACCAGCTCTTTGATTTGTTCCCTCCCTTCACTTCCTCCAGCTTTTCTTCCTCCGCCCTTCTAGAAAGGAGGTCAGGAGAGAGCAATAAAGTGACAAAAGGAGGAAGGAGGGGAGGATAGAGGTGGAGGAAGGAAAAGTGTAAGTGTTGAGACTATAGAAACCTAGCGAGGGTAGTAAGAGGCATACAGGGTCTTCTAAAAACAGACGACTTATTACTGTTGAAATGACTTGAAAAGATCCGTGTTGTGTTTGTATTCCTGTCTGAAACAAATAAAAAGAATTGCACCGCGGGTCCTTGCTGAGGTGAGAGGCCAGTCAAGGGAAGACTACAATGGAGGAACTGTACAGGCGTGGAGCAGCATGTCTCACCTGCCTGTTAGATTACAAAAAAAAAAAGTTCAACCTAAGAGAAGAAATTTACTGTCAGCAGAAACTAAAGAAAAATTCTGCCAGAAAGAAAACATAAAAACACGAATACAGAGTAGAGAATGATTCACTTAAATGATATGAGTAATAACCATAAGAATAGTACAACAACAAACCGAGTATGACGATGTTAAATACAAAACAAAATATCAAAAGTAAATAAACTGCTTGGCAACAGAGGATTAAGGAATTTTTTCGCTCGACCTCTATATCTGAGAGCCAGGATGTGCCCGCTGGTGACTCCAACTTTTCCTCCTTCCTTCATGGCAAACAAACGAGAGGCACAGGAATGCTCACTTCCCAACTACTGGCATGTGTTAACGGGTCAGTCCTGGCTGGTCAGGTATCTGCAGGAATGATGGCACTGCCAGAAAGTCCACGTTTAGTTTCTGATCATCTCCCGAGTCTCTCCTGGTAAAACCTCCTCTGAAGGCCTACGGGTGAGGAAGTGATCTCTCAAGGTCCACTGCGAACAGTCGCATCGTTTCCGGCTGCTGAGGGCCCAGCCCCCGAACGTCAGCAGAAACAAACCACCAACTCAGAACACGCAAGTTTAACATACAGGTTGCTCCTCACACACTGCCTTTACTCCTCTAAAATGATTAAAAACAGAACAAATATCAAAACATGGATCAACTACCCTCTTTCAAAATTGTCAACCGTTCACCGTCTGTCTATCCGAAGCGGGAACCGTTTCATCTTCAAGGCAAATGAGTGCAGCTGTACATGATGGTGCTTCGGTCACTGGCATCAATCTTTCTTTGAGGTGGTCGATACAGAGTGCTGATTCAAGTCTGGGCATGAAAAGTTTGTTTATGTGGTACTTTCTGTGCCACCTGTTTTTAAAGTGTTTATGTTTTTGGTGTGACAGGGACACAAAAAAACAAAACAAAAAAAAAAACAACAAAAAAAGTCCAAATACTGCAAACAAATCCTAACTGGATATGGATAAGTGTGGAAGAATGTGAGCAGAGAAGTTACTGACTGGTCAACCACTCATCTAGAAGAGTCCTGTGACTCACGAAGCTCCTCTGGACTCACGTCTGCTCCCTGTTCCACTTCCTCATCATGCAGGTCTCCACCTCCCTTGCTGGCCCCCTCCCCCAGCTGGGAGCCCGATGGCCCCGGAGCCGATGCAGCGGACTCTGACGGGCCTAACATGGCGGCATCAGAGGGCGCCGCTGTCTGCATGATCTTCTGCCGCACCTCCCTGATCTTCAGCTGCAGACACACCTTGGAGGGGAAAATGTCGGAGTATCTTGTCTGGAATGCTGCAGTGGCCTGAGCTGCAAGCAGGAGATCAACGCTCATGAGGGTCTGGACACTTTTCAAGTATTTTCAAGGTGACTTTTCAAACCTTTCCAGCACCAAACTTTGGAGTTTAAAAACAATACAAATAAACTTTTTTTTTTTTTTTTTAAAGGGTTGTATTCTACATTCTACAGCAGGGACAAAGTAAACTAAAATATAATAAAGTTTTATGTTTTGAAATGTCTTTCACACACCCTATACACCTGACTAGTCTAAGAACAAAACAATGTAACAAACATATCCCTCATTTACATTGTTCAACATATAAAATATAAGGAACCTTTATTCAACTAAACAGAGCAATATTAGGCATAATACATGTTCATTACATTGAAACAACTTGTGTTAAGGTAAATGGCCTTTCTTCTCATATTATGGTAAATACTGACAAAAAATGGGGGGAAAAAAACATTACAATTTTTTTTTAAGGTTTTCTGACATTTATCAAATAGAAATTTGTTTGGTGATTCTAACCGATTAAAAAAAAAAACATTTAATTTGAACGTGAGGGAAAAATGCCTGTTTTTTTATTATGTTGTAAAAGTCCCTGATTTAGATAAATGTTATGTTCCACATCATTATAAAACTGTTCAGTGTGATTATCAAGCACTTTCAAGAACTTTGCACAAAAATTAAGCATTTCACAAACCTTGAAAACATTTAATTAAAAATCAAAAACTTTCAAGAATTTCAAGCACCTGTATGAATTCTGGCTTGCAGTCACAAACTAATTCTTTAGATTATTGTTGATTTTTTTGTGTCGGCGTACCTGACGGAAAGAAGCCCTGCTCCTGGAACAGCTGCATGACCAGCGCCCTCCTCTGGTCAAGAGTTCGTCGCAGGGACGAATACGGCACCTTTTCAAACTCCAGTTCTGCCAGAATGTCCTCTCCGTCTGTGGCTGGACAACCAACAGACACAAAGATTAAAACCTAAGCAAACTTGTTTGAATTCAATGCTTTAAGTTTTACGTCTGGACTTAAAGATAAAGGCAGCAGAGATTTTCAAACGGCTAAAGTTAAACTCTCCCAAGACAAGCGAGATCTGCTCAGGATTTTATATCATAAATAACATCTCAAAAATATAGCTTTAAACAGCCTTTATTCACTGGTTATCCTTTTTAAACACTGTAATTAGCTCCTTCTATTTTATTTTAAAGCCATTGTCTTAACATTTGTGCTATATTATAGGGTTGGAACTAACAGTTAATTTAGTTATCGATTACGCCATCGATTATTTTTTACGTTTGATCAATTGTGATCTTTTAGTTTTTTTCTTTACAGAATTTGAACCAGTCAAACGCTGCCACTTGAGTTTTGGATAAAATATATTTACAAAGTCCTTTTATTCATGTTTGATCTTAAATGCAAACTGTCATCTTTTGTTTATTTAATGATTTGAAGATTATGGATTTTTTTCAACAAACTGCCTTTTTTGAGTGTATGTACTCCAGTTAATCTGCTACTAAATTAGTTGACAGTTAATTTAATAATGGATTCATCACAATTAATCCGATTAATCATTTCAACCCTCCTATATTTGCAAACAGTGTATGAAATTGTTATAAATATGCATCGAAGTGATTAAATGGGTAAATAAAATGATGAAATGAAAATGGGAATAATTAGTGTCCATCTTCCCATAAAGAAATGCCAAGGATGAAAATACAGAAATGATCCCCACAGAGAAGGTTTGTCGGCCAACTAATTTATATCTGACTCAGCTGTTTTCATAAATATTCTTAACAATCACATTCAAGCTGACAGGAATTAGCTCATTAGCTTCCTGTTGAGAACTTTTTAACTAAATCTTTGTCTCTTCTTGGTCCAAAGATCTCGTCAGGCTGCTAGCGAACACCTGCATGTCATCAACTTATTCTGCGTGTTAATCCAGCAGTTTTTATTCCAGACATTTGACTAAAACACATTTCCCGTAAGCTTTTATAAACTATATGTTCCCCAAGTTACAAAGCATTGTGTTGCTCCAGCACAGTTCTGATTCAGATCTGTGTTAAAGGGCAAATGCACTCCTTTTTTTAGCATCTTGATTGAAAAGATGCTAAAAAAAAAAAAAAGCTTTTGAACC